GACTGCTCACTTCTTGGGAGCAGACTTAGGTTGTATTTATTTTTGTGTCTTGGAATGTGTTAATTTGTTGTTCTTTTCAGTGAATGTGCGTCTACGTAAGGAGAGATCCAGGGAAAACGATTTGCTTGGGTTTCGGGGCTTGTGTCCCGTCACTGGGCCTCTACACTGAGTGATGAAATGTGAAAGGAGCTCTTGTGGAAGATAGCAATAAAGATGTAGATGCCTCTTGCTTTTAAATCAGACGGTTTACTTCTGGAAGAGACTTAGGTGACAAGATATTCCAATCCTGGATGATGATGATGACGATGATGACGACGACGATGACGACGATTTTTTTTTTTAAAGGCATAGAGAGGTTAAAGGGTCCCCAAGACGAAGCAGAGCTGGGATTTTAACTCAGATTCTGAGCCCAGGACTCCTCAAGGTGCTAAATTCCTTTTGGACAGGTCCAGCCCTTTACAAACACAAAGCAGGATGGACAAATTTCATGGCCTTGGAAAGACTTTAACTGCAAATTAAGGTTGCTTGATTCATTTTTTTTTAATTGAGGTAAAATTCATATAACATGAACTTAATTATTAACCATTTTAAAGTGTACAAATCAATGGCCTTTGCTGTATTGGGTTTTTGTTTCTTGTTTTCTTCTTAAAAAAATAAAAATTTCACATTTGAGATTCCATTAGACCTGGCCCCACTTAAACCCCAGATAAAGAATTATTTTCAGAGGCAGACGAGTGAAAGCTTATGCAGAGAAGGAATGAAATCACCTTCTGCTACCTGCCTCCTCTCACACAAATCACGGGGAGGGAGAGATGCAGTGTTAGACCCTTCAGTGGACACTTGCCAAAGATAATAAATAAGTCACTCCTTCAAGCACAATTTTATTACAAAAGTTTTTGTTGTCTTTGTATTTTCCCTGTTATGCCTTAGATGCAAAAAGAAAGAGGAGGGAAAGCCTATTAGCTTTCATGTCAGTTTTGGTTTGACTCAACATCCAACTGAAGAGTGGGAGTGGTGACTATTTCTGAGGCCCTGGGGAGGTGGGAGTGGCTGGCTTCGTCTGCCTCTCACCCAGTCATTGCAGTTCCAGTGGGTTCCATCTTTCTTTTGAAGCTTTCCTGAAAATCCTCAGCCCAGCTTGGTTTTCCCCTTCTGGGGCTTGCTTTGGGGGCCAGTCACCTGGTTCCTAGAGCAAAGTCTTGAGTTTTTGAGTGGTCTTTTTATATGCCTTGTTCAGGCCCTCCAGTTTGCCTGAAGACTCTGTATTTAAAATCTCTTTGTGTTTGCCAAACTTACTATTTTTTCTTTAATTTGATAAATACATATTGGGATATGTCTTAAGGTCTTTCCTTGTGCATGAAATTTGTCTGACCTGTATGGAATCTAACGTTGAGTCTTACTCCCACTGAGAGCTAAGTTCTAGTAGGAAAGACAAAGAAGATATGCTTATTTAACAAATACTTACTGAGCTTCCCAATAGCCCACATGATGGTAGGTGCTAGGGATGCAAAGATGAATTGGACAGTGTTCTGGCACTCAAGGACTCATGCACAGTGTGCTGAAAATTGTCACTTTGGGCTGACAATAAGACTCATTAGTGAACTTAACCAGGAGACCCCTAGGACATGTCTGAATTTCTCATTTAGACTAGGGAAGGTGTGGTATTATTAGACATCTTTACAAAAGCGCAGGTCTGGGAATTCTTTTAGTATCTTCTCTTATAAACAATCACTTGAGTGAGAAAGAACCTCAGTTAATTGATGGGAGGGGCAGGAGTCCATGAAAGGATGTTCTAGACAGGGACAGACTGGAACTCTAACCCAAGTCACCACATCTTATCTTATCAAACTCTGTCCCCAGCTTTAGGCCATTTCTTTTTGTGCAAAAAGGAGATCAGATGTGTACCTGTGCCCTGGATGGAGATTTTCAGGTACATCAAGATATGGCTGCTTCCAGATACAAACTACTATACATAAAATAAACGACATAGAGGGATAGCATGGGGAACTGTATTCCGTATCTTATAATAAACTATAATGGGAAAGAATATGAAAAAGTGTGTATATATGTATATCTAAAACTGAATCACTTTGCTGTACACCAGAAACTAACACATTGCAAATCAACTATATGTCAAATAAATAAATTAAAATATTATAATTGAAATTCAAAAAATTGCTTCCAGAAGAACGGGGGTGGGAGGGGGAGGAGCAGAACCATACCATTAGTTTTCGTGATAGAGATCCTGAAGAAGAAACCAGAGGTGCTTGTTACGATTTTAGTTTAATTGGAGACACACCCTATATGTTAGACAAAACCGAAATCATTGCTTTCATCTGAACTTGAGAAGAATTAAAGACTATGGGTTTAATTACACTGCTCACTCCCACTCTAAACAATATATACCTATTAAGTTCTTTCAGAGTTAACTGGGTCTATGAGAGAGTATAATCCAGCCCAGTGAATGTGGCTGAACAGGATACTACATATTTTGTGGCTGCTACTGTAGTCTGCATGTGTTGGTAAGAGTTCTGCTCTATTTCCTGCTGTTTAAATTTTTTTGAAACCTCACTAGCCTGTAATGACTTAGGACTTTTACATCCTGAGTCAGTCAGCAAGAACATTTATATCTGGCACTTAAGCCAAACCAAGATTTCCCTTTGGTTATAAGAAATTGAATGGCTTTTAGTGGTGGTGAGACTGGGATACTGAAAGAATATCAAACAGACGTTTTTACTCAAAAAAAAAAGAAGTTAGTGTTTAAGTTAACAAGTTCTACATTTCCCCACAAATTCCATTTTCTCTGATGCTGTTTTAACTTACTTCACATCATTCTAAACACATCAGCTGTGGCTATTCAGAGTTCTTCAGATAGGACAGAGTTAGATGGAAGATGACTCTATGATCTTCATTTTATCATAAACCATAAATTCCACATTAGCACTGAAATAGTATCTTATTAAACGTGTGTTGTGTTATGTTAAATTGAGATTTCTCTGTTTACAAGTGAACAAAAACAAAGAGAACTTGAACAAAAAAAGAGAAAAAACGTGAGGGGTGGAGGCACTTGTGGGAGACTGCTAGGGCATGGCCTTGAACGCAGTGGGGAGGGGGCACCAGGCCTTCAAGGGGCAGAACCAGGGCATCTCTGGGGACCTCGCTGAGCCCAGACAGTCAGAGACTTTGGGTGCTTGCTGCTGCAAACACTTCTTGGTCAAAATATCCACTCGTAGGAGAGAGAGAATGATTTCCCTCTTTGCTCTGGGTTCTGCTCTGGACTGATCAGCCAGTCTTGTAGGAAAGAACCACACAACAGAAACAACACTTAGGAGAACCCACTTGCCTGGGCTCAGTGGGAAGTTCTTAAGGAAGACGGGGGCAGTCCACTGCCCACCACACCTTGAGTTTAATACTATAAGCACATATTACAATCAAAGATGAGCTTTGTTTATTTTCCATATGAGTGATGAACACATTAAATGATGTGTTCTTTCCTAATATTCTATTTTCAAGACTTTGTAAGAAACAAATTAAGGCTTACTGCAGTGATATGAGTCAGAGGTGTGACCAATGGAAAACATAGGATGAATTTGGTATCTTACTATGCAGTGGGAGATATATGAGAGGCAAACAACTTGCAATTACTATGAACATACAAGGACAGATCTCTTATTTAATTAGCTTTTAAAATAGAATTTAAAAAGAGATTTAAGGTCCAAAAATGTCTCATTCTTGTTCTATGCCATGGATACTAATTGGCTTCTGATCTTGAATATGTGTATGTATATAGACATATGCACATATATTTTGACATCATTGTCCTTCATCACATCCCAAAATTGTACTATTTACAATCTCTCTAAATATATAGATGGAAAACCATAATTAACTACCTATAATTATGTACTCATAAATATAGCTGTTCGAGTCACTATTTCAGTAGCCTGTCCTTGTTTGAAGTCCCACACAAATGTCCTAAGTGTATTTCCCATGGCTATATGATACTTTGGGTGTGATACATCTTCTCCAAGTCCTGAGGTGAAAATGCTTTTCTGGAAACCCAGAGAATGCCTCATCACACCTACGATGACCCCAGGTTTGAACACTTCACTACTAGGAAGGGAGTTGTCAGACCTACTCTGTCTTCAGTTCCTGGTGTTGTTAGAAACTCTGAACTATAGGCCAAGCATGTGCAGATTAGCTTCCTGCCTGGTTAATAAACTGTCTGCATTTCTAGAGACACCTATAAGCAAATGTTTCTTCCTCTCCTGGAATTTAATATATACGAGAGTCCTGGAAATCCTCACTCCAGACTGCAACAAACCCTTACATTTCATGTGAATAAACGAAGATGTCATCTTTTGAGCTATTTATCTCCTTATCATCCCATCAACTGGGATTTTTAAAATAATTCTGTAAAAAAAAAACTTTCCCCCTTCCTTTCCATTTTTTAGTAATAGAAAAGGTGCCTATTTTACTCTCTCTGTCAGCCTCAATGCGCAGACTGTGAAAACATATTAGTCACTCACTTCACACCTCTGGAGGAAAACAAAACACCAAATAGGAAAAAAATCTATCCAAGCAAGTTCCATGATTCTTAGATCATCAGATTTTTCCAAACAAAGTTTACATGTTTGTATCTCAACTGCCAGACCAAAATTCCAGAAACCTGGGGTCACAGGACAAAAGAAAGGGAGCCATGCTTTCCTGGGAATCTGCAGTATTCCTGGGAGAGCCCAGTCCCGGAGCCTTTAGCTCTGCACATGACACTCCCAGGTTCCCCAAGGAAGCAGGGTTAATTTCTCCTGCAGGCTTATTTCTACCCTTTGTTCTTGCAATATCTTCCAGGAGGACATACAAAGAAATTGTGGTTTGCAGTCAAGCAGGCCTAGGTTCCAGTTGCCCCTCAGACCCTCTGCTGTGAGGCCCTACCTGTGTCACGTCCTCAGTGTTTACTTCTCCCTTAAACTGGAAATAACAATGTTTGGTTCCAGGACTGTGGCAGGATGGAAAGCAACAGCATCAGTGGCAACGGGAATGAGTGCTGGAAGTGTTGGTGGCTGCTGGTGGTGACCCTTGGTTCTTCTCCTGGTAGACACCTTCACACCTCCGGGGAGGCGGAACAGTAGGTCCCACCCTGAGAAATTTAACAGTAGTTTTTCTCATTCCACATAATCCTGAGCATTGAGTTAATTTTTTTAAGAAGGTGGTGGGAGGTAGGGATGGAGGGCATCCTACCCTGGCGTTTCCTTCTCTGTGTCCTGGTGCAGAGAAATGCCTCGAAATGGGTTATGGGCCCCAAGGTGTTGATGCTTCTGCCCCAGGGAGGCTGCAGGGATGAGGCTGCAGGAGTTCAGAGGCCTATTTTCTTCCAAGGAGCAGCCTCATCTTTTCTCCCCAGTGTGCTTTACAGATATTCTCCTTTTCATGCCAAATGCTGGTGGCACCGTAGGCCTCTAGGAAACCTTATATACAGCTTTTAGAGGAGTGTAGTCTACAGAGCAATAGAGGGTACGTAGTCATGATGAATGTCTATGTACTCTATGATCCGGCCGTTCCCTCCCAGGTCCATAAGGGGGCATGTAGGAGGGTATTCATCATGGTGGGGTCTGCGGACCCAGGGAGCTGCTGCAGTCAGGGTGCCCCTCGCTGGGGTGGGTGCTCATGTAGGCGATGGCCACCATGAAGTCCTGTGTAAAAGACTAGATGTGCACTCAGCAACAGTGTGGGTCCCGTGCTGAGGGAATGAAGGAAGAAATGGAATGAGATCTGCAACCTGATGTCACACAAATTAAAAATGCAGGAGTACAAAATAACGCTACACTTTACAATAATACAGAAAACAAAATAATATACAGTAAACACGTCAAAATGGTTGCCTCTGGGAGTGGGGAATGGAGATAAAAAGGAATGGATGGACAAGGGGATGGATGGATGATTGAATAAATAAATAAATATGCTCCCTGTGCAGAGGAATTGGGGATGTGGTTGACTCAGCCTTTTGCTTCTGTGTTCCCAAATTAAAAATTATTTTCTATGCTTGTGACTTTTAAAAGATTTGGAAGCAACTGCTCCAGGTAATGCAATTATTTCCTTGGGAGCCACTAACATAAGCATTTAAGAGTAATTCAACAAAAGTTAAATGTCACACCAGGAGAGAAAAAATGTGTATACAAGGTGTTTTACCATAATAATTATAGAAGACTAATTTGTAAAGAAAGGTCATTACCTTGAATTAAGATGTTAAAATCACTAGCTACACTACATGAATAATTATTTTAAAATGCCTCCTTTGATATTGAAAGAAGATCCTTAGGTGATCTAAGAGGTCTAAACTTGTAGGACAGTAGGGAGCCATAGGGATGGTATTTTCCCTTCTCAACATGATTTTGCTGGTCTTCCCATGCCAGCAATTAGAGTCATGTTACACTTGTGATCTCCACCTCCAACCCCCTACCTGGTCAAAAATATCTGAGAGGTGTGTCTGCAATCATCACTTTGGCTTTTTTTGGTTTGTTTTTTTACTTTAAAAAAACTTTATTCTGGAAGTTTTCAAATATATGCAAAGGTAGTAAGAATAGCACAATGAACCTTGTATATCCATTATCCAGCTTCAACACCTAGCAACATTTTGCCAATCTTGTTTCACCTATCCTTCCCACTTTTAGTTTTTCGTCAGTATTCTAAAGCAAATTTAAAAAGTACACATGACATAATTTCATCCTTGAATACTTCACTATGGACGTCTAATGCATAAGTATTTATAGATACGTACACACCCCACACCTGTGCCATTATCATGCCTAACAAATGAGTAATAATTATGTAATTTAATACCCATTCTAGGTTTACCTTTTCACAATAATGTAAAAAATATTGTCATTTATTTGTTCAAATCAGATGCAATCCTCACTTTGAAATCAATTTGGTTCGATCCGAACGTGACTTTCCAGCTGGAGAAGGGAGAGAATGCTATTTTGGCTGAACCTTGAGTGATTGGTGGAATTGGGGCACCTGCTGGTAAGTGGAAAAGACATTCCAGATGTAGGGAACAGCATGATTGATGGCAGGGACAGAGGAATGGCCAGGGCAAATACAGGAACCGGTCCAGAAATGAAGAAGCTACGCTGCGCAGCTGTGAGGTTTGGCCTGGGCGCCTGTCGCAGCTCTGACCCTTCCAGCTGCGGCTGATCCAGTTTTGGGAGCTTTCAAAGATGTTGTCTGACATTTTGTGGACCTGAAGCCAGCGGCTTCTCATTTAACCTTCATAGATTTTAAAAAAGAAAAAAAGTGTTACCAGCAAGTAACTTGAATATTCTCAACTTCCCTCTGACAGGGCTGCCAAATCTCTAGGTGAGGGTGTCTATCTATGCTAGATTCTTGATATTTACTACATTTTATTTCTTTTCAGTGATAAACTCGTGATGTATTCCAAACCTTGGGATGTTCGTATTACTATTGTCCCTGATACATGCATCTAATGTGCTGGGAAAGGGAAGTGATCCATTAGACAGGAGGGACAGTTTCTCAGTTCCCAAAAGGTTGCAGTGTTCAGCACCAGGTGCCAAATGTTTAAAAGTGAAGATCACTAAACACTTAGAATAATTTTTAACTGCTTTGTTGAGGTATAATTCACATAAGATACAATTCACCCATTTAAAGTGAACAATTCAGTGGGTTTTGGTATGTTACATTATTAATATTTTTAGGTAGTGGTAAAGGATATTTAACAAAATTTGCCATCTTCACCATTTTAAGCGTACAATTCAGTGCCATTAATTACATTCATGATGTTGTGCAACCATCACCACCATCTATTTCCAAACTTTTTTATCTCCCTAAACAAAACAGCTTACAAAATTGCAATGGTATCATTATTAGGTCTAGACTTAAAGAGTTTTGTTTATGAAATAGGGTGTTTGATATCATCATACTCTGCCACAATTCCCCACCCAGGCATTCTTACAACCCCCTGCTGCCTGTTTTTACCTGAGCTGGGAGCATCAGCCTCGTGGTGAATCCCATCAAAACCTTCAGGCTCTGTTCTGCTCTGCTTCTTGCCAAGCTGAAAGGAGGGTCAGCTGGAGTTTCTTTCTCTTCTGGAGATCTCAGGGGCAGAGGAAGTGGCACCAAATATGTGGACCAGATGTCTTCAAATAGAGGCCCTGCATTTTGCGTGAGTTTATTCAGCTATTCCTTTTCTCCCCCCCCCCCGGGGGAAGGTAATTACGTTTATTTGTTTGTTTGTTTGTTTGTTTGTTTGTTTGTTTGTGGCAGTACTGGGGATTGAACCAGCGCATGCCTAGCCACTACCAGCTACCTCTGAGCTATACCTTCCCCTCAACCGTTCCCTTTTATCTCCACTCCCCACTCCTATTTCCAACTCCCACTGGCAAACATTTTCATGTGTTTAATGTACGTTATTTTGTTTTATGTTTTTGTAAAGTGAATACAGCTTTGTGCTCCTGCATTTTTAAGCGGTGTAAGTTATCTAGGCCTGGACCTAGATAAGAGGATAAGATTTCCCATCCTTGTTTCTAGATTATCACCGCAACTGGCCTTGCCCCATGTATCCCAGACTGATGTCCTTGTCTTACATTAAAGGAAAATATACACATATCTCTTCATTAATGAACTTACCTTCAACTCTTTTAGGGGCAGCTGATAGCTTATAAGAGAAATTATACTCCATTCACTGGTTTCTCTCTTGTAAATTCTAAGTCACGATGCCAGAGGCTCTGTGTCCCTTAGGGTTCTTGGCTGCAAGCAACAGAAGTGAATTCTAACTTAAGCAGAGAAGGAAAATGCTGAAAACATACTGCGTAGCATGCAGAATGGTAGGAAGGCTTGAGGCCCTAGGTCAAAGGAGGCTACACGCTGCGGGGCGTGTCTTGGGAACTTGTCTGGGAAGTTCATTAGTGTTCCGAGCAAGAGTAGATTCTGTAGCTCCTATCCCCATAAACCCTGCATGTAGGACAGTGCTCTGTCCCCAGTGCCTTTGGAAATTGGATGTTGCTACCAGAATGGATTCGCCAATCTTCCCATTGGTTTATGTCGAATTCTGGAGCTCCTGCACCTGGTTGGCTAAACCTAAGCCTGCAAAAGAAATGACTGGCTGGCTTTTTTAGCATCTAGAGTGAGAGGCTGTCTCTTGCTAAGACTCAAATGGTTAGGAATTCCCCAAACATAGGAAGACAGTTCAGAGCAAGCAACCAAAAAAGTTACAGATGTCTCCTACAGGTAGGAAGCATCTGCTGTTCTGTACAGATCTGAGTCACAGCTTAATTTTATCCAGCTTTAAAAAATACTCTGAACTGGTTTGTTGGCCTCTTTTTCCTTCTGTTATTAAAATAAAAAGATACACTTGGGCAATTTCTTTCAGCAAGTTCTTTTAGTAAGGTAAAAATTCTGACATCAAAACCTCACAGTATTTTTGTCTTTTTCAAGTTAACATTGTTGTGTTGAAATATAACTATGGGGCAAGTCTTTTCATATTAAGTGTAACTACAGCTTATCCCCGAGATTCTAATCAAATTCTTATTCTGACCCAATATTTGCAGTTTGTAATTTTCAAAGGTTGTTTTCTATTGTCTTTCTTCTTTTAAACTGAAACAGTTAGATTTTCTTTTCTAAACAGTATATAGCTTGTATTAGTTTACAAGGTAGAAAAAGAAAAAAAAAGTCTGACCAAGAAGTACAGGGAAGTACAGGGGGAAAATACTGCTATTTGTATAACCAAATCCAAGGTTAACAAGGATTTTTGTTAGTGAAATATCAGTTTATCCAGACTACATTATTTCTCAGGTAAATAGAATCATATTTCTTGTGTGTTAATAGCTAGTCTGTATTTACCAGTTAGAAGTCTCACTCTGTTTATTCTTCAAAGTCTCAAAATCTTTGCTTCACTGATGTCCTGTGTATCTGACATCTTTTTAATGAGTAATAACTTACGAGCTGTCACGGCCGTTTCACATTAAGTTTACCCCCTCATCATTTCCTGTGGCTTTACGGTGAAATGTATATTTACTTAGTGACTGGGTATCCCATTTCTGCCCCTAAAACGAAGGTGAACTTGATGAGAGAGACTCAGTGTGGGAATTAGGTACTTGCCTCTCAGATAATTGTCAATTATAAAATAGATTGGATTCCAGACCTCCCAATTTTCCTGGCCAGGGTGAAAAAGATGTTTTGAGGAAGATCTGATCAGTGAAAGAGAAGATTGTTGGTGGGAGTGGGGGAGGTAGTTTGCGTAATTTCCTTTCAAATTTTAGAAATTCATGGCCCAGGCTGTCGCTGAAGCTCACTGTTGTTGCTTCCCAGGACAGGCAAACGTCTCTGACCTCCCTAAGCCAGAGAATACAGAAAGAAGCTGGTGAAAGAGGGAAGGGGAGGCCAGCCAGCTGGTGGAAGCATGGGTAGTGTGGGGGTGGGGTTGTTAATTAGCTTCACTTGTCTCACCAAGAGCCAGTGGCAAGCAGATGGCTGCACCCTTAATACCACCCATTTTTCGTCTTGTAGTGGTTGATCTTGTGGTCAGGCAGAAAGCCTGCACTTTTTTTTTCTCTTCAAAATGTAGAAGTGGTGGAGAAACATACAAAGGGAAAAAATCTATATTTAAATATTATACATATCTAAGAAAAATAGATCTTATCTCCTTACATCTTTTGCAAAAAGTAGATGCGGATTCATATTTTGACAAGTGAGAGTGATTTGTTCTTTCTATTACAAAAATCAATCTAAACTAATCAAACTGTGTCTGGATGTCTAAAAAATAATCAAAAAATGATAAAACTGGCTATGAAGTTCAAACTCAATACCACAGCATCTTGTATTTGGAGAGAGGTTGACTTAAAGATAACTATAAGATTCATCAGAACACATGTCACATGTACTAATGCTGACCTCTTGGACACATACTAGCAGTTTCTAGGGGGTGGGGACTGTGGCTTGATTATTTTATAATTTCTCTGGAGCAGGCAATAATGATAAGTCACTGAAAATTTATTAAATGGAATGAAGCTGTAGTAAGTCAATTACTACTACATGTACTATTCAATATTTATATAATTGTTGCCTTTATGCCAAGTAAACATTAGTAAGCATGACAAAGTAAACAGTTAACATTCTGAAAATGCAGTGTTGTAGCAGGCACTGATTTTTCTCAGTGCTGATATTGTACTTTATATGCTAAATTAAAGAGTTTTCAAAACTGGAAAGTACGGACCCTAATATCTATTTTTGTAGAAGAAGGGAAAGGAATAAATATTTACTGAGCACTGACTATGTAACAGGTAGACCTTACATACATGATCATATTCAATCCCTTCAACATCCCTGTATGGTAGTTCCTTCTCTGCTTTTTACAAATGAGGTTCACAGATGTCAAGCAAATTGCCAGAGGTTGCATAGTGAGTGACTTAACAGGATTCACCCTCGGGTATGCCTAACTCTAAAGCGTGCACTGTCCTGCCTTTATTCTACCTGAACCCCAGTATCTCCATTGGTCCCCCAGTGTTCTTAGTTTTATCTGTCCAGTGATTGATCACATCAGCCCACTCTACCTCTAAAGCAGTCTCCACATTCTTTCTCGCCTCCAGCCCCAATGGCAGAAAGAGATCTGGCATCCAGATCTCCATCTAGTTAACTCTCCTACACATAAGTCATTTTTGGAGCTTGAAAAGACAAATGGGAAGTGAAACAGTGTATTACTGGTAATCTGAACAGAGCATTAGTTTTGATCCTAATAAGCAAATCTGCAATTCCCTTCTACCAAATTTCCAACCTTCACATTCACCTTGCGTTTGCTAACATGTGATACATGTATCTTACTCTTGTGTTTGATATTTATCCTATGGGCTGAAATGAACATCTTTTAGACCTAGCAACATGTAGGATGTTAACTAGATTCCATCTGGGGCAGGTGATATATCTATGGTTCTCTTTCTCATTGCTTAGCATGCCACGCTCAGTTGTTTTAATATGCATTTTAAATCAAGTGGTTGATTTTCTCCAATTTCTTTATGACCAAGTTTCCTGGAAGCATTTGCCATGACATAGTAAATCTGAAACTGAGATAGGCTGTTGGTATTTAAGGAGAAAAAGTCTTACATTGTATGTTGTTTACTATTTTATCAGCAATAGATACATAGTCACAGAAATAAACATTACAGATCAGACACTTATTTTCAGACAAAAGTAATAGAAAATCTGTTTCCAAATGGAATTCTTACAGTCTTTAAATAATTGTTTTGAGAAGTTTTGAGAGTATCTCTTGACTTGCCTTCTAGAGTTCGTTGTTCAAGGAAGTATGCAGAATATCTTTTAGATGAGGTAGACTCATTATGAGAAATGAGAGATTAGTCAGGGTACTTAGATCATTGTTGTATGTTGCTCTACTCCTGTATGAATGTCGTAGCCAGAAAAGTGACAAAATTTTATCCTTTGCACTGTCCCCCGGGGAAATTCTCCTACCTTAAAGAGTCTTATAATTTGGTCATAATGATAGACCAAAAGCAATATGCTTGGTTCCAAATGACTGCTATAGATGATAATGCCATGAAGGTTCATAGGAGGAATGACATCTTAATTATCTGGGGGTGAAACAGACATTCTGAATTCACTTTACTTTTAAAAATGAAAATACTGGACTCACCCCTGTCACTTCCTTTTTCCCTATGACAATTGAGATTTTGTTTCTCCATCGTTCACTTGAGGTCAACCCAACCCAAATCCCTTAAAGGAAGTATATAGTAAATGAAAAAAACTAAGAAGTTAAGACTGGGAAATGAAACCAATTTCTTTTAAATGACAACAGTCTTCTGAAACCTTGTGAAGAAGTTGATTCAAGTTACTACAGGGTGATTTTTCCAAGTGAATGTCACAGTGATGGAACTTTTCTGCAGTCATGGCTGTCATGGTGGGCTGTCTGACTAGTTATGGTCTGTAATGGTAAATGGGCTTATATAATTCTGGCTGTAACTCAAGAGTCCCAGAGAGACTAAGGGTAGAGTTATGTGCTGTATTTCCTTTATGTTCTCCACTGCAGTGTCTCATAACTTTATCATCCCATGATCTCTCTCAGTAAACATGAAAATCCCATCTGCCCCTCAAACCTGAGAAAGCCCTTTAAAAACAGGGTGCTTTCTGTCTTTCTCCACCACACCAGTTGAGAATCACAGCTTTTGAGAATCACAGACTGAAGCTTGCCTGACCACAAAGATTCAGTCAAACTTTTAAATAAATATGTTTATTAAAACAATAGGTAATTTTTTGATACCATAGATTTTGATAATTCCCCTTTTCTTTTCTTCTTCCTCACTCTCACCCCCTTTGTAAATTATTTCTCTATCCTTATTGAATTAAACTTGTGGTGTGTCTTTAGTGTTTAGAAAGTTGTTATAGTAATAAAAGAATTTAGGTCCTTG